CATGTCCTAATATAACCACAGGCTCGATTGGACAATTCCACACCCAACTTACAGGCGTTCAAACCTTAACTCCCACGAAATTTGTTTGTGCGCTGGCAAGGATAAATACTTAATCAAGACAAGGGGATTGATGGATTTTCTGCAGGTCATGTTCTCGACCGATTTGAGCCACTAAGACCTGGACGTAAAATGAGAATGATATGCATGACGCTTCTTGGTTGAGTCTAGATTCTGCTCATCTTCGGGCGTCACATCGTGCGACGCGTTATCGTCGTATTTTCGTGCCAGATTTCCGGTAGCCGTTGGATGTTGTTCCGGTGCAAATTTTCCCCATAATGAGCGTTGCGTCTGCCGGCAAAATCCCCCCCTTTGGTCTGCCAAAATTTCTGACGTGAAGGAATTTTGTAAGACATCCACCTTTCCAGTAGGGCTCGTTCTCTGTGCGCCGGCTGGAACCTAGGCCGTGCCCTGGCTATTTTTGGTATGTTCGTCATTGACATAGTGCTAGCAGGGTGAGTTATGGGGCGCGATCGATCCTCTGCTAAGGCGCATCAGAAAAGTTTCGACCGAATTATGATGGATCAACGCAGACCAGTATCACAGTTAACGAGGCTTTGTCTCAGGGAATGCTGATATAACGCGGAAGCAAAAAGAGCCGCACGGAAGAAAAGGACTGAGTGCCACCCCCAGTACGATGCCGAAAATAAATCAGCCACTACTGGACCGCACAAACGAGATCAGTCTTTTGTTCCGTAGTCAGTTTATTCCAATACGGCCAATCCGAGTTTCACAGGGAGGCCTCAGCACCGCAGACTGACAGCTCAACCGCTTACGCTAGAATGTGAGGCATCCACCTCAAGCTGCTCTTAATTTAGATACATGCGTAACGTATTCTCGAAGGTCACAGATCGCCAACAAGTCTAAGCGACGTCGACCATGAACTTCACGAGCCCCGGCTTCCTCTGCGCAGGAGTCTTCAAGCTATACCGCCCCCATCCCGTGCAAAAGCGGTCAGCTCGGCCAACCATTCTTCGCTGGTTCAGCTTTCACCATCGAATAGTTCCTGGTTTACAGAAATTATATTGATGTAGCAGACACAAATTTTCCCACTTCTGCACTTCCGCTTCCACAACGAGAGCGTAGAAGGCGACCATAAAGATTTATGACGGGAAAGGCATGAGAAACAGTCCCTGGAATGTTGATGTCATTTCACTCCTCCCCTTGCCCATGATCGTCCCCTGATCTGCATTACAAGCGCTGTCCTAGGCAGTCCAGAATACTTCACGATGTCTCTCTCATGCCACATAAATCTATAATGCTCCACAAGGCTGCATGGGAAACTAGCATAGGCACGTGACTATAACTACTATGCAGAGTCATCTTAAGACAGGGGCGTAGCTGGAAACGACGGATGCGGAAATCCGGTCCGATACAATAAGTAACATGCCCAGGAATCGACAGTGATATATTCGTATCCTTAATGCCTACAAAATTTTTCCAATGGTAGCCACCATTCTTACATAGATTAGAAGATGCAGTCAGCTTTCGTCATATCTCAAAGATTTCATCCTGTTACACAGTAGAGTTCGAAACTGACGCGCGATGAGCTCAATATTCGAGGTGTAACGAGCAGGGCAACATTAGTTTTTTTGGCGTAACGTTGTTGCGCAACCAAAAAGAAGGAATTGAATTTCCGATGCCTCATCCACGTATCGAATAAGCTAATTCTGGACTGCAGAGTTGGGGAATTGGAGGTTAAACGGCGCGGTAACGGTCCGCTAAATTGGCCGTCTGGGGCGTGAAGTTTACCGTAATGAAAGGTACCGCCGATTGTTACGGGGCAACGGAAGCGCCGACAAGCGCTCTCCCATAGTTGCGAGGTCGTGGAATTGACTATCGGACGTGTTCCTTGACGTCCATGAGTGAAGGAGTTATGGACCAAGTGCGGAGAATAGCTGCATGGGCATCCTTACACCAAATATCAACTTCAGATTCCGGGCTTACGAAGCAATGACTCATGCGCTTTGTTGCCTCGGAAGGCTAAGCGCATCGAATCTGTTAAGATCTGGGCGTCCAACGGGAGGATAAATTTCGCGTTCGAATCTTCCAATTCTTAGCACGAGCCACACCTTTGCCAAGTCCACAGGGATCATGCAGGTATCTAGAAATGTTTGCCAAGTTCTATTATCATCTCAAGCGGGTCGTAAGGCTTAGATTGCGGGAGAATGCACAGCCTGCTGGTAAATTCCATTAAATCTTGAAAAAAAATACCTCTACTTTGATGTGTACAGATACCGGACAGAGTGCATCTGAAGCAGTCAAACTTGGAGCAAATGTTTTCTCGAGGGACGGGTCGGATAGTCCCGCTCGGTTAGCGTGAGATGATCTCCGACGGAATGACTCGGATAGATCCACAGGGCCTGCTTCGATGGCGCTGGCCTGTAGCCCCGCCACCCATCTGGCCTTATTAATTCATCGACGGCAGTTCAGCAAATTAAAATCATTGTGGCGCCTATCGTAGACCTTGACGGCAAATCTGAGTCTATTGATTCTGGCCACGAGTTCTGTACACCACCCATATATATTTTTCGGATATTGTTAGGCTGTCCAGGTTGGTTCAGAGGCGACAATCGACACTCGGAGCGTCTAAGCACTTCCAATATACCCCTACCATATAAGCTTCAAAACCTCTTGGCAAGATAGCAAGTTTCCTGTGAGTGACCAGTAGGAGAAAGCCAATGAAAGTAAAGTGGATCGAAGCATAAGGCCTGCATGGAAGAAGCTGTGTCCAGACGATCCACATTAATTGTTGCTTGCGCGAGATTCAAGAAAGTAGGATTTCTTATTCTACAATAGTAACTCTTTGTATTTTCATATCATAAGCTCTTCTCCAAGCTTTTAATCCCACTCATGAAAGGAGCTTATCAGAGACGCTTCAAGAACATACCATCGCAGTTTGCATAAATTGACCTAGCCATCAAAACTTTTGCCTACTGATAGGTATAATACTTTTCTAGAAGAAAATTATATTTCTATTAATCTGTATTAATTTAATTGCCATTTTCACGACATTTTCCATGGCAGATCAGATGTATAATCCCTGGGTGCTCCTCTGATAGCAAGGAAAATTTATCTCCACATTTTATCGTTGATGGACAGGTAATGGTTTTGTTTTCATTGTGCTACTTGATCCAATGACTAACTAGCACATTGAGCTCCTCCCTAACCCAGGAGATACCTTGTACAGAGCTCATATCATTTGTTACAAAAAGAGGGTATCTAATATGATGCCCATGATTTGATTGACACGAAACTAGTGAAGCTAGTTAGATACTTGCTCATTATTCTGAATTTAGCTGTCGATATTGCTTCCTTGGGATATGAATGGATCAAACGATAGTTTCATCGAAGATAATCAGTTTTTGTGGATTTTGGAATGAGTTTCCACGAGATTTTGCACTTTTTGTCTAGCAATAATCAAGCCCAAGTTTTAGCCCATAACCTTGGGCCAATCTGAGTTTCGGACATGAAAGTCATGTGGAGTAAAAACCTTTTGCAACGATGAAGAGGCTCCGTTGTCGCAATTGGCGAAAAGCCATTTGGTCTGGGCCTTACTGAAATTTCGTGTTAGTCTATGGGTGACCTTTGAGCGTTATGCATAATCCACAGGATAATATGAGATTTGTAAGATGGTGAGTGGTATTAATGGTGGTGGCTTTGCCGAATGTGAAATTACTCCTCAAACGAATAGTCTTTGCAGCAATGGAATGAGAAAATTCACGAGCGGCTTGAATCGAATCCTCCATGTTGCCAGGACATAGAAAATGCCATGGACCGTGTCGTTGCGGGTATTCCTCACTTGCAGCGAATCCCAGGTTAGATGAAGCGCGCTTATCTGCGGGGCAGATCACGGAACTTGTATTGCCGGCCGGATAATTATCAGCGCCAAACCCTTCGTGGAAATAATTTTGAAGAACTTCATCCAGCCGCGATCAGCCATGCTAGACTTCGCCGCGCGTCTGGTCACCTTGAGGCACGCGTGGTCACTACTTTTGAACACAAAGGTGATAGCCCTATTACTAGAAAATGATCCAAGGGGTCGAGATTGTTGCTCGGATCCTCAGTTGTTCTCGAAATCATTTTTATGGGCGCAAACTACAATCCCGATAACTCTTCCAACATTTTGAAGTTAACTTTCAGCTTGAGAATAAGTGGTATTTAATTTGTGAGATTTTTGCAACACAACAAAGATACCGTCGAGAGTCGCGGAATCTAGTGGAAAACTAGTTTTTGAACCACGTCTGCGCCAATCATAAGTAGGCACCATGACCCCAATCTATCAGCCAGTCAATTGCTATTGTAACACGAACAATGAATTTGCATGGTTTAGTGCAGCATGGGAACATTTGCACAATTTTTCTCGTGTTCAGATCTCCATGTACACGTGCTCCGCTTTAACGCTATATCCAGGAGGTTGTGCGACAGCTTCGACAAGCGAAACATAAACTGCCGAGCACGCATACTATCTGTTTAGTTTTGGCATGTTTCAATAAGAAGGATGTATCAATGTTTTTATTTTGTTTATCCACAGTCTATTTTACAAGCTGTGTCTTACATGAGAAACGCTGAAATGCAATAATCAAATCTCCTTGATTGGCCTACATTCAGTTATTTTCGTGCCCTGCCGAAACTAGTGATGAAAATTCTACCAGCTCTTACCGCCCGAGCCGGCACGGGAGGCATAAACAAATATTCTTATACGGAATAACTTCTTTCATGTGAACATTTCAACAAAATCAAAAAAATCATTCAAAAGATGCAATATGCACCTGTTCAGAGGGAAATACCTTGACGATATATACAAGTGGGGGTAAATGCAGGGCGCTTGCAGCTGGAACGCAAAAAAGTAACAATTAATTAAGTAATGGGTATGATGGTTGATCAGAGTGTTCGATAAGGTCGTGATAGGACATAGATTCTTTGAGAAGTATAGGCAACGGTCAGCTCATGGCGTTACGAATTGATTGACGCGCCAACATAGCAGCGCATCGCGCTATGCCGCCTAAACCGACTCCGTCGAGATGTCGACCTAGGACTGGTTCTTCTGATCCAGTGAATTCAAGCTCGAGTGCGTGTTGGGTATTTCCACCAAGGCATTGGGCGACCTCCATTCCTCGTGCTCGTTCTTTCTCGACGCGATCAATTTCGGATTCCTCATCGTCATTATTGAGAGCGATGCCGCTGTCAGAAGATTTGCATGAACCATGCTGCGAATCCGAGTCATCACAGTTTTCGGCTGATTCGGTTGGCTTGTGAGAGGAGACTGGTGGCAAAATACCCGACATCTTGAACATGAAAGCAGGCGGGATAGTTCTTCGTCCCGATTTAAAAACGCACTTGCTTAAAGCTGTTGCTACTACACCCGGGTGACAGCTGAGCACGTCGAGGCTTGCCTGTTGTTCAGCGTGTCTCTCACCCTCAGTTTCACTCAACTCTGGAGCATTAGGATTTTGTTCTGGATACAATGTGTAGTCCTTGGGTTTGACCGTGCCGCGGCGGACAAAGTGGGTTATAAGGTAGATCCACTTCTCGTCCCAGGACAGAACTCGTGTCCAAAGTTCGTAAGATTCGTATGCCTTTAATTCCCGTTTAAATGAACACGAGACGGCCCCAAGAGCGCATGAAAAGAATGGAACGTCGGCACCGGTATATGCACCAGTTCCGCCTCGACAGTGTTCAATCCCGACACTGAATAATGTACAAATCAAGTGTGCTCGAGCTATGTCAACATCGGCGAAATAAGATGAATTAGTCTCTGTAGATAATTATTAGTAATTACGCTAGATTATAAAAAGGATTGCCATACTATGAATATTGAAGTCAATTTCCATCAAAGGAACTTGAGTTGTGGTAATGATCGGCTGAAAAATTTGAGAGTACGTTGGCGGATTTTTGGGTCTCTGAATTTTGAGCGTTCGGGAACAGGCGTTGAGAATACGTAACTACCAAAACTATTATTAGATCGAGATCTTATGTGGATATTTTGTAGAGTTTTAGGTTAACTAACATGCCAAATGAATGGTATACATTTTAAATTTGTAATAAGGAGTATGCCGAACAAGATATTCCATAGCGTACAATATCCCCACAACTGTCCTGCAAGGTCATAAACAGCGGCACTACTAGGAAGATTCGCTATCATGGACGGCAATGTACTGTTTATGGCGCCGCCAGATACATAGGTGAAAGGCTTGTAGTCGTTCATAATGGTCGGGGAGGAAGCGTAGGGAGATAATTGGGGCCGTGATAGCCTGCGATATTTTTGGCCTGACAAGGTCAGAGCGGGAGGAGGCTTCTGGATATCGAATCGGTGATTTGGAAGAATGGAAAGCTGAGAACGTAGTGGAGAAGCTTGTTTGTCTCGTTGAGGAGAAGGGTTCATATAAATAAGAGTTGCGACGATAAGAAATCTGGTAGAGTCCACACACACTGAATCGGAGGAGCCGCGGCTGAGTGTCTGACCAAGTTTTGGATTTATTTTGTTAGAAGTCGTTGTTGAAAACCTTGGAGTGTGTTGGAGGTAGAGTTTATTGATGTTACTTCAAGAATCCGCTCGCGTCTTGCCCGAGGTACATAAAGTGTGTTCTTCGGTTCTTTCGATTGAGAAAACGACCAGGGGAAGAATATGCTTGAGGGTCTCTGGTCTGACGCGGCATCGATGCAGGGGTAGTTCTGACAAAAGTAGGTCTAAATTGGAGAAAATGCTGTGGCATTGGCGATGAGCTGCCCCACAATTTCGACTTGAGGGTCTCGGGTGGCCTTGTAAAAACAGCGCTGCAGCATAGCTAGGATCAGGGGGCGAAGAGGGCTGATTCAAGGTTGTTGCCGATCGTGAGGCTGTTCAATACTCGGATAGGACAAAAACGGTTGGGGCTCAGAAACATTCCTTGAAGCGGCGGTGACTATCAACGGTAGCTGCTGGACTGCTTGTTCATCTGTGGTATACAGATGTGATACAGTGGTGGTGGCAAGGGGCGAAGAGGAGGAAGGCCAGAGTAGTAGATACGTGGATGAATGTTGAGGGGTAGTCTATTGTGTCCGCATTTGCCGCTGACGATGTCCGTGAGGACAGAAGCCAAAAACGATTGCTTCGTCCTTTTAATGTTCACCGACATATCTTCACGGTGCTCTGTCTAGGAACATTAATGCTGTCATCATGCAAGACCTCTTCTATTCAAAGTTTCTGTCGCCAGCCCACGGCAAGCGAGGCTTACTTGAACGTTTCTCCAATACTGTAGAAACAGGGCCTCATGAATCAAGCATCGGTACGGTCGGGGTAATATGGAATTTTGGCACGGATCGGAAAATCAGAAGTCGTTGGTCCAAAATCGGATCACCGCTCTTCTTGATCCGGGGGTTGATGACCGGCTGACGATGTAGTGGACCGGCAAGTCGAGGCTCCAGGATCTGGTGGAAGATGACGCAGCATGAAGGAAAAGCCAAGCGGTGACTTGCCCATTGCTCTGACAACCGAAATCCTAGTCGGAAGCACATCAGGCTGGCGTATTGGAGTCGTTTCCCAGCCTTTGGCAACCGTCATATCCCAAGGTGATTCTGGGCGCGCTTCAATCGGAGACTTTTAGGGTATCTGGGTCTTTTGCAGCGACAACAGTGAACACTTCCACCCAAGTTAGGTCGATAATTTCTCCATCAAACGGTCATTTAGCGCCTAGCAATTCCACACTTTTACTTGCCTTCATGGGCATAGTGAACACGGAATCCGGAATAAAGATGTTCTCCGACACCCAATAACATCTTCATTGTGGCCACGCAAAGACGATTCGCCCAGTGGTCGGATGTTTAGCACCCTGATCATATTTGAAGTAACTGTTTGGCCTGGCTGTAGAATCCCCATCTTCGAGCGTGCACAACGTTTTTCCAAGCTGATGGCAGAAGACAACCTGTTTCTTCCAAAACGTTGCGTAAGACTCAAACGTACGTAAATAGATTCAATTCGACGGGTATGGAAATTAAAAAAATGTTCGCCTAACGTGAGGCGAAAGGATGCGCAGCTGCAGTCGAAGATGAGGCTGCGAGGCGGATCACCGATTAGCCTGTACTCCTCAAGGTTGTGGCATTTCTTCCAAAGGCATTAACCATGCAGAATGGCAAGCTTAGTGCGGATGAGGGTGCAAAGGCCGAGGATAAATGCGGTGAGGGATTGAGTATACTGCTCTTGCAGTGCCAACGCATAAATCATTGATAAATTATTCCATAATAATCCGAAATGATTGGTTATTCCTGCTCCGGAGAGCTCCTACGCTGCCCCCTGCTAATGCATATTGGAGGCCCAAGGGGGAATTAAATCAATGATTAATCGCCCTCAATCGGGACTCCACCCCCGCCCTCCGCACCGCCGGCGCCGGCGTCGGCTGCCTTAGTGCCCTGTCGGTCTGTGGTGGTTCGTTCTATTCGTTGTTCCTCGATCTACCTCCCTGCACACGCTTTGGACTCTATCCTCCACGCTGGCTATTGGTCTGATAGAGACTCAGTCGCCTAAATCGAGATTAGTGACTCTCGCAGGCTCCTTCTGCTAGACGATGGATCTAAGCGACGTCAAAGACTGAAGTAGCCAGCTGCTTTGCTCTGCTCTCGCTCCAACCACAAACTTGACGCTCGTCCCGCCCTCATACACCCTTCAATATCACCATGCGTTACATGCCGATCTTGAGCAACTTTCATTTTACGTTGGCTAGATATCATTTCCATGACAGCGGACAAGTAAGAAGAAGACGAAGTAGCAGGGAATGCCGAAGGCATATGGGTAGAAACACGAGGGAAGTAAAAGACCTAAAAATGCATTTCATATTCCTTTTGGTGACTTTCCCGAAGATCAAATCAAAGTCTTAAACCCACTCTGATATCCGTCCGTGTGGTCATGCCATCGGGGATATGATCGGCAACGTCAGGGGAGGCTCCAGCCCTCATCTGGGTTCTATAAGCCTAGGGCTAGCACCGTCTATATCAATCGAACAGCTGCCACTCTTTCATCTACACCTCACCATTTCAGCTCTCCAACAACATCTAGTGTTGGAGATTCGATTCAACCCGACTACTCTTCACTTCTATCCCTTCAACTGATAATCCATTGTTCAAGCGGAAAACAGTTTCAACGTATTGATACCAAACATCTCTGCCCCTCTTGAATTTTCTTTATTCAATCTCTTCTTCCACTATACCAACTCCTTCTTTTCATAGGATTCTACGCCTAATTAGACATGTCTTACGATCTTGCTACGGCTCCCGGTATTATCGGTCCAATCTCCCTTTCACCATGGGCAAACTTCAACAAGGCCTGGACGGCGGTAATGGGGTATCCGGCTGAAGAATTCCAGTTTATACCTGGAAAGACGCCTATCTCCACACCTGCAGAGGCCATAAGTATGTGCATTGTGTACCTCGTTGTCATATTAGGAGGGCAGGAGATAATGCGGAACCAAAAGGCCTTCCAACTTAATACTCTTTTCAAAATACACAATTTTATGCTTACAGCTGTGAGCGCATCCCTCTTAATTCTTTTTGCCGAACAGCTAGTCCCAAGTCTCTGGAATCACGGTCTCTACGCCAATATCTGTCAAGCTCCAGGTTGGACTCAGCCTCTTGTATTGCTCTACTACGTGAGTCTGACACTTTCTGACCTTAAATGAACTAGTTTCTAACAACAGATCAGCTTAACTATCTCACAAAGTACGTTGAGCTTTTAGACACTGTTTTCTTGGTTGTAAAAAAGAAACCTCTTAGTATGGATCAGCCCTTGATAATCCCTTTTATCAATAATTAATTTTTAACAGCATTCTTACATTGTTATCACCATCCTGCCACTGCTTTGCTTTGTTTCACACAACTTATTGGTCGTACTTCGGTTTCATGGGTCCCCATCACCCTTAATTTAACTGTTCACGTGGTAATGTACTGGTACTACTTTCAAAGCGCACGCGGGATCCGTGTTACATGGAAGGAGTGGATCACCCGTATGCAAATCACCCAATTTATCATTGATTTAGGTATGAATTACTATGATTTCTCGTTACGGAAAAAGTGTTCTAATGCTTGAAAGGTTTCGTATATTTCGCCACTTATGATTACGTCGTCCACGTTAACTGGCCCTCTCTCCCCCATGTCGGGGAGTGTGCTGGCGAGCCATGGGCTGCAGCCGCTGGCGACCTTATTCTGCTGTCTTACTTAATTTTGTTTATATCATTTTACATCAGCACGTACCGAAAGCAGTCCTCTCGTAAGGCTGCAGCTAAAGTTGCAGCGGTCCGTGCGTCCGAGGAGGCTAAAGGTGGTAGCATAAACACATCCAGTACAAGGATTATCAAGACATGAATAACACTGACAATTTGATGACAAGAATATGATCATGCTAATGGGGCGTCGAAGATCGAGACAATAAAGCTCACATCTTCAGAAGTACAATAGGGTTATTCCGAGGTAATCAGGTTTATTGGGGTGTTTTTTTTTTCAAGTTTTGGTGGTACCTAGATATGCGAAAAAATTATTTCTTCTGCTCTTCAACGCCTTGGTCCTTTAGATCTGTCTCAATTGACGTCCGATTAAACAGCGATCTTTTCGGCACAATTTTTAGATTGTCGTAGGCTAATATCTCTGTAAAAGAACAAACTTTTATTACCGATACAAAGTAGTATCATCTAATTAAATGACATCGAAACAACACCTCTTGAAGATTTCCGTAGATCTATAGCTCTATAATGTTCCATTTTCTTAGATGCAACTCGAAAAATGACGAGTTTCTCATGGACTATGGCGAGCAACAATAATACTTCTATCACAGTCTACCAAGCATTCAAAGTCTAATAGTGACAACCGTTCAGTGTTGCTGCGTCTAGATACAAATGGCCCGATGCCATATGACAAATGAAGTAACATCAGTTCGCAACACTTAATATTCTGCCCGGAGCACAAAAACGCAGGCATCCGTTGTCACGTGGCTTAACATCCAATTAAAAATAAGGTTGTCAAAGTGGATGGAATTTTTCTAGACCGAAAAATAAGTCTGCGCTAACGTTACATAATGCTCGTTCACCACATGTGCCTGGAGCGACAAAGGGCGGCTCATGGCTCCAAACAATCAATGCAGCTTATGATCACGCTCGATCAACAAGGCTTCATGCGGGCGTTGGCTCATCGATATTAGTATATACATAGCTGTAATAGACGAGCGCGTCACACCATTCAGATGATTACTGATAATTAGTTACCACATCAAGGGAAATCTTCGCCGCAGACATGCGCGCTAAGAATTTGTATGCAGGTGTAGAGCCGAGTATAGAGAAGATATTTTTGGCAGCTGATGGTAGCCTGTGGATCAGTCCAATAGACGTCATGGAGACACAATGAGTGGTTGGATCTGAATCATGCGAAAGCGAGTCAGTGAGCTGCCGCTTCAGGTTCGACCAAAGATTCGACTCCACTTTCAATGGCGCAGGGCGGTAAGCTGACGTCAAAGCAGCCACACTGACAGCATAACGCTAGAAATCTGACCTGAGCTACACTCGGCTGTCTTTTCTGGTATCATCCTCTTACTGCATGAAACTCTCTCCATGTCAAGGATCGCATTACGGAAACTAGAATTTAGACGCTACCGATCTTGAAGCACTAGGGCGCACACGTCTCGCCTCAGCACTTCAAAATCAACGATTATGCAGGTCGAATCAAAAGTACCAGTACCGGAAAAGTGCCACGTAATATCTGGTCGTCAAAGGAATCACAGCAAAAGGCAACAATCTACTATTAAGCACGCACTACGGACATGAATCTCCGTAAAATAGGCAATTATTCACACGGATGTCGTCTAGACTGTCGATTGGCCCCTTTGTCAATTCTACGCAAAGAGTAATAGACGAACGGGCCCCACATGAATTGCTTTGGAGCGAAATGCAGCAAGGGGCAGAAATATTACCTTATCCAAGTCCCATGAATAATATAGAACCTAGGAAATAGCTCTAATTGATGCCTATCGATTCTGAAGACCGAATGTAATTTAGCTTGTACAAAAACCCAGAAAATTAAATGGAATGCCGCATAATTTCATAATTATTATGGAGGGCAGTCAAACTTTAGTGCAGTAGATCGATTATTGTGTAGCAACTTCGCTACAAAAGGATACTCACTACTCAGCGCAAAGTCTACCGTTTTGCAATGCTCGTATAATATACTAATCTCTACCTTCACGTGATGCTTACGAGGAGAGAAAGACTGAACACCTGTTCGCGGTGTCCTCTACGAACCTGGGAGTGAAATATTTTCTCAAAGATAAGTTCAGTCAAATTTCGCAATATCAGAGAAGTTGGCTCACAAGGCAATGATCTAAATTACTCCACCAGGTCAAATCTTCACTCCCAACGAGATCCACTCTTACCTAAGTCTCATCAAGTCTACAAGTACGACCTAGTACATCCTCATTCCAATGATCACACCACTCGTCGACTTTCTCTGGCCTCGGCTGGTCATCAAATACACGCCCACGCCGATATTTACGCCCGACGGAGGAAGCAAAGCGTGGCGCACAGACCCGAGAGACAGTTCTTTGGGATGGACGTGAGAGGATTCAGGACAAGCTCACAAGCTGATGCGAAGGATGGATACAGTCTTGAAGGGCGTGGAATTTTAAAATTTGGCAAAGGGCTTTTACAAATTGACCTTTGTGCGTGCCAAGTCTTCGATTGCGAGAGTGAAGGCGACACTACAAACACTGCCATGGTTGGATGGTGCGGTGGTACATCGTCTTGGCCGGTCTGCCAAGTAGAGTCTGGATAGCGTGGACACACATCCCACTTGAGACAGTAGATCGCCGGTTCAAATCCGGCAAAACACAACCACATTTCTCGCGGCGCTGGTGTGCATGGATAACGATGGCATGCTTGAATAATCAAAGGTTTTCAAATTCCTTTGGTGGGTACTTACGGAGGAGGGTTGAATGATTTTGTAAACGAACATACAACATAGTGTTATTTGCGAATGAAATCCAGAGTATGAGTGTCTCGAACGTAAAAAGAGTCATCCCACATGTATACATAACACCGGTCAGGTTTCATAGCTAGATAACCGAATACACATTAAATGATTTAAAAGAAAGAAAGTGATGAGTACGACTTGGTCTGAAATTTCCTATTTCCACAAGAACTTTGAATTAAAACAAAACTAGTTCTGCCTTTCTTTTCGGAAAAATTAATACTTGCTCACGCTGATGGTATCTTCCTGTGGATTTAAAGTGGAAATAAAGAAAATTGGGCCATAGTCAGAGAATTCCGACCTGAAGCCCAATCGATTCAAAGCTTCAATCTAATTTTCATTTATTACAGATACGAGGAGCCAGCAGTCAATACTGCTGAATCTAGGCTCCGTAGCTAATGAGACCTCGCATTCTGGAGGGACTTTTATGGTTTCAATATGACAACTCGGCCCTGATGGTTATTTCCTTGCATTATATTCCTTTTATTCCTAAAGCCCCTAGTCGTCACAGGTAGCGAAGGCTATGTGTGTTCGGCTTAAAGATCAGCTCTGGAGCGTACAAGCTTCTCGAATGCAGCTGTTGTGTCAAATACAAAATGAGATGTGACTTGGATTATGGGACGAATCAGATAACCGTAAATGCTGCCCTGGCATAATACCCTGGAGGTCGACATAACCTCTCGTCTCACTCCAGGTCTGGTGGGGGAGTATATTGTGGATCAGGAGCGATGACTTTTTTAATTTAAATTTCACCTCATACATCAAAGCGATGACTGTGCAAATGCATGTTTGCACAGAACTATTCACACTCTATTCGTAGAAAAATGGGAATTATCATAGGTCTGAACCATATATACATATCGAGCATCGCCCATGGTCTTAGATGGAATTGATTTCGCCGATGGAATAGTAATTCATCCGGTTCCGAGCATCTGAGGCAGCAGTAATAATAGACATCGATACATGTAAGGTAGCATCCGGATCAGCACCTAGCTTACTGCCTCGAGTAAGTTTATCTTTTTAAAGCTCGTTTGATTTGTATGCAGCTTCAGAATAAGTCTCCCTATGCATGAGCCGAGTTAGGCCGAATCACTGTTTTCCTGATTAAAGCTTTCATACGCCAATAAAATCTAGCGTCAAGAGGGGTGGAGGGCGGGAGCCCGTTTGTTGCATTCCATACGATGCAGCCTGGGAGACCTCAATTCTGCATGAACACTAGGCAGGAGCACATGGGCCCGCCTTCACACCATGGTGTCTACCTAATTTTCAAACACACACAGACACACACTTACCGAATCTTCAAGTCAGGTATGTTTTCTCTTTCTCTTGGGAGAGTGGTTTCCTCGGCTGACCCTGGCAAGAAATGGAATATTCCTCAGCTGCCTTGACGGCTTAAATCTTAATGTCCCGGCTCACAGTCAAATTCCCGTCAACCAGGCGCTGGTATATGCGATGCGGCCTGGACAACGGGCCGTGCTTGGATGTTGGGCGATGTTGGACTGAACCCTAGCAAGTGCGTGGATTGAGTTGACCAATGAGTATGTCATAGGAGAAAGAGTGAACCAATTTCCAGTACCACATTTTAATCCCTTCAGGAACTAATTGATGCTTGGATTTAACAATGGTGACTTTGACGAGGCTCAAGAGACGTCTTGAAATGTGGCGTGGGTATGTGACAAGATGATACCATAGCGCTTTGAGGGTATGGGTCGCAGGTAACTAGAGCTGCCATGGTACAGATTTTTTTCTGTCTCATTTAAATATGTGCAGCTATCTAGCCATGGTCCACGATCAGTGTTACGTGTACATTTTGGATGACACCTTTGAATTCAGAGACACTTATGCTCTGGATTTCATTTGAAAATACCACTATGAGGTATGCTTGCCTACACAAGCGGTCAACGCTCCATCATGAATACCCACCAAAAGGGACATTCAAAACCCTTTGATTATCTATGTATGCCTTTGTCACCCATGTAAACCAACGCCGAGAGAAGTGTGATAGGTACCCAAGCTATCCTGAGTCTATCTGAGAGACTAGCTACGATGTTGTACCACCGCGCCATCCAACCATGGCGCTGCTCTTTGTGTTTCATCCACTCTCGGAGTCAAAGGTTTGGTGCACACAATGCTCAAGATGTGAAAATCCCTGCCTAAATTCAAAATTTTACGTCTTCTGCGGTTTTATACACAGTTAGCATCATCGTCTCCAATTTTCCAGACCTCTCTCACGCCCATTCCGAAAACATTGCCTCTCAGATTTATGCGCAACAATTTGTGTCCTCCGGCGGGTACCCATGTTCTTGTGGGCATCTTTATGGAGGCCATGTGAGGCCGGAGACCGACCAGAAGAG